TAGCAATAGAATTGCAGCACGTATCATCCATTTAGCGGAATGAGCTGCACAATTGACATTCGCAATATTAAAGAGTTCTAAGAGTTCTAATGCATCAGAGTGGTTGAGGTTGTGGTTCTGGCTGTTAATGATGCATAAGAGTTCGTTTAGATTGTCATATTAAAGCCCAAGCAAGTGGATATGAGATATGTATCAGATTTCACATGGCTGCAAGACAAAAGACTTAGGACACGAACTTGACAGTTGGGTTTATCAGTTAAGCGATAAGTCTTGTACATCAGTCGCTCGGGTGCAATGACATCGGCAAGCTGCAACGCGACTTCATTTGTGGCTTATCAGCTGCAGCTGCTGCTGCTGCTGCCGCCGTCACAGTCGCAGTCGCAGTCGACGACGATGCCAAAGCCACAGCCACAGCCGCAGCCAACGCCAACGCATTTGGCCACGTTTATTTCCTCATTACGAAAGCCCGGCGCACAATTTCACCTAGCGCAACAACAAAAGACAACTTTAATGTTAATTACGTGATGCTGCAAGGAAGTCGCGACACACGCTGGCAATTTGCATTTATTTCTGAGTTTTCCTATATCCATTTTCTTTTTCTTCTCTGTGCAGATTTGTTTTTTAATTTTTTTTTCTCTTAACCACGAAAATTTCGTCTGTCATGTGGCGGGTCTCGTCGTGCTAAAGAAAGTGAAAAGCGTGGAAAGTCGACGTCGACAACAAAAACAACAACAACAAAGCAACGGTAAAGGTGAAGATGCCAGCCTACCGAGACTAGCCTGCCCCAGCCTGCCCCAGCCTGCCCCGGCCTGGCCGAGAGGTCGTGGGTTCACAGCGGTCAGCCAATTGTCAATCGCATATTTTATGGCCATCAAGCGACACCTGGAAATAACTGCAACTGTGCAACAACAACAACAAATTGCGCAAGCTTCGATGCGTCTATTGGACACACACACACAAGACTTCCTTAAGCCAAGTGACGAGCCAGAGACAGCCAACAGGTTGTATTATGTTTTAATCACTGACTCAAATTGTATACCAAATATAATGAAATGAATGCGGAAGCACAGGATGAAATGCCGCATTGCTTATGCCCAAAGGCTTACTTACTGAAGAGCACATATATTATTGCAATTTTGAATAGAAGCATAAGATATACAACAAACCCATCCTCCTCAATTCACGGCTCTAAATTCTAATCATCTTCCATATGTAAATCTTAAGAAGAAAAGGTTGAGCCCTGAAAGAAACCATGAAGCTACATTAGCAACCAACTTGGATCTAATGGGAAAATAACTTAAATACATAAACTTAATGAAAATCTGGATTTATATCAAAATTAAATTAAAGTCAAATGTGACAGATTGATTAACAGCTATATGTGACGAAAATATTTGAAGCTATTAATTAAGTACTAAAGCTAATACGAATTACGCACTGAGTGACCATGGAGTTTGAGATGAGCAATCAGCCATTATTGCGGCGCATAATACTAAATATTTATCTTGATAAGCCAAGCAGAGCCCATCAGCCAGCACGTCTCTCGCATCTCCCCTCTACACCTACCTTTCTCTCTCTCTCTCTCTCTCTCGCACACTCTCATTCTCTGGCTGTAGGAATTTAGTGCTAATGCGTACAAGAAAGAGGCGTGGCAGCCAAAAATAACAAAGTGCTAATAATTTCGGCGCAACATTATGGCCAAGGGGCCTATCAATAAATCTCTCAGGCTAGTCGCGACTACCCAGCCCCAAAGGTAAGCCAAGCGTTGACTTTGGCTGTTGCTCTAAGCAATTTGCATTTAAATTTAGTTTTATTTTTGTTTTCTTGTTTTTTTTTTCTTTTTTTTACTTTTGTTTTTGTTACTCGTGGTTTTGGGGCCTTTTCAATGGTTTTCCTCTTTCGATATCATTTGAGTTCGTTGCACACAATTTGCCAGCCAAGTTGATTAGCTTTGTTCGTGGCATTTTTTCGCCGCTAGCTGAGGCCCAACATTGGCACATGTATCTGACAGATACACGCGCGTAATTAACTACTTTAGAGATACAAAGATACATACATATCTACTAGATATGCGGTGTATATTGCTGCTGCTGCTGCTCTTGTGGTCGAAGGCTGACAGATAAATCACATAAAGTGCGCCGCATTCGATGCCATAAAATAATGCCAAATGATTTGTAACAATAAACAATTCACGGTGGGCTGTACGGAGATAAATAAATATTTCTATACATACATAAATTCATATACTTTTGGCATATATATTCATTTTCGACTTTGAAGATGACCATTTACTGCGATAATTACTCACAAATATATTTTCATAATTGTGTCAAGGATGAGCGGAAGTGCTGCCAAATATTCATTGTTGCTTTGGGTAGTTAAACAGGCTGTCTTTAATTTGGATTGATTAGTTGATTGATTGATTCATCCAATGTGGTCTTAATGGGCGTTTAATTGCAACCAACATTCAAGAGCTTCTTTCACAATATTTAATCCATCAGTTGTTTAAGTAAATGCCCAGAAGCAAGTCCATTATGAACTTGCCTTCAAAATATTCAGTAGCTTGATAATGGAAAAATAGTAGAAATAATAGTACGATTTTGATGGAATAACCGAAATGAATTTTGATAGACTTTCAGCTGAAAATGCAATGTTCAAAATGTGCATAATTATGAGAGCGATCAATAAACATCATCACATACTTCTGTATGCAACTCCTCTATTGAAAATGAAAACGTTGCGAAAAGCGATATTTGCGACAGAGCCAATCATTTGAATCACAGTTTAGCAGGCACTGGTGCGCCCGCCAGGCATTGCACGCAATTACCAGGTGAGGCAAAGCACTATGAGAAGAGCAGCCCCTCATCCCCACCGGCCACTTGGCCACTTGGCTGGCTACCTTTAGCCAATTGCGGGGTAATTTGCAAACGCACAAAAGCGCAGGCCGCTGACGACCTTAATTAGCGGGCATAGCCAAGAAACCGACTCGTAATAGGCAAACGCACATAGAATAGCACGTAGATGCGCAGCGTATGCCAGCACCAGAACCAGAACGGTATCCAAAGACCAAAGGAAGGGCTAGATGCCAGTTCTTAGAAACCAATTAAAGCGCCAGCCGCTGCACAGTGAGGCAAGCTCTTAATGAGAAACTGAATAGAGGAATTCTTATTAGAAAATTGAATGAGCTTGAGAATATTTTGTAGTTAATATGAAAAATACTCATATTTAAAATTTTCAAAATTAATATTCAAATTATATATATACAAATATATATAATATTTAATTTATTTTATTTTAACTTCAGTTTAATATTTTTACAAAATTTATAAGTAGAACTCCAAGTCTTTTATACTTAAATCATAGTGTTATTTACCGTTTAATGGCCTTGCTTACTCTCTTCGCATTCCTTCCATACATTATTCAGATTTTGTTGCAGTTTTCATTGACCTTTGCACCACAGTGCATTGCACAATCTTTTGATGGGCGACGGCCAATGGAACGGGCCGCAGTCCGCTGCAAGCCTCAATTGAGATATTATGAAATCGTTTTGGTCGCCGGTCGCTGTCGGTGCGTGCGGTCGTCCGCTAATAGAGACGCATCCTCCATCCTTCCTGTTGGCCAGCCACTCCGACTCCAACTCCAACTCCGACTCCGACTACGCCGGCCAGGCCGTTTGCCTTGTTAATGATGTGCCGTGCGCGCATTTAAATAAAGTGCCGCCCATTATAATGAGCCGTGCGCGTTGTTAACGTCTGTTGTTGATATTATTCGAACTCATAAAGGAGCGGCCCCGAAGTCCCTATCACAATCTCTTCGGCCGCATCTAACGAGCGCCCCATAAAATGCGCCAAAGTTTGCACATCCACTAAAAGGAAAAGCAAAGGGTTCGCCAACTGCATAATTAAAGTGCGGCAGTAAATATTTTGCGAAACAGGCAGCACACGCTGGGCCGTTGGTATGCGATAATTATGAAATTCTTCTGCTCTTTGAATATATGTAAAAAAAAAAAAAAAAAAAAAAAAAAAAAAAAAAAAAAAAAAAAAAAAAAAAAAAAAAAAAAAAAAAAAAAAAAAAATATCAAATAAATGTGTTAAAAGAGTAGTCTGTTTTATGTTGAATATGTTTGCTGAATTCCAAAGTAGAGCCATTAAAAATTGAGGTAATCAATAAAATAACAAAATTTACAAAACCAAAAAAAAGAATTAAAATAATATCTAGACCTCAAAAGGGGGCAGAGTATCTAATTCTACATTTCTGTTAAGCATTACACACGTTTGTTCATTAATTAAACTCTGGAAATATCTCTCTTTTACTCTATATCACTCTCCTCCTCTCTCCCTTTGAATTTTACCCCCTCTCAGTCACTTCTACTCTAAAACTTTCGCCTTCTGTTCAGATCAGCTTTAAATTTCAGGCATTAATTCGCGAACATTTGTCAACGAGTTTGCGCCGGAACTAGGTGCATAGCTTACCGCAATTTCACGGGCCCCCCTCACCATCAAACCAGCTGCCTCTCCCTCTGCGAGCCCCCTTATCAATTTGTTAAACATTTTCCGTTGTCGCTGGCAAGCCAATTAATCAAACAACTGCCAACAAGTGGCAAAGGAAAAGCCTAAATAAAATATATACAAGAAGCAAACAACAACAACAAAATGTACCTCATGCTGCATGCAACCCGACGCGTCGGCTACAAGGAGGCAAAAGCAAAGCTCAATGCATCGCTGCAATTGTAGCAGGCGGCAGATAGGCAGAAATTTTGGAATTTATATCATCAATTGGACGCGAAGCTGTTAAGATAGATGCAGATGCAAAAATATGCGGTGCATGGCGAGCGTGCAACATGTGGCAAATGGGCATGCAACATTGTTGCACTTGGTGCCCTGCACTAACGACATTTGCCATCTGCCCATGGTCATGCCACATTCGAAATGATAAGCAATAATTGAATAGATTGCAGACCATTTCAAATGCAGCAAATGGAGCAAATGGGGCGTTGCGTGTATGTGTGTGTGTGTGTGTGTGTGCATGAGTGTAATGTCCAGCAAGAGGAAGTAGTCGATCGAAATCACAGCCATAATTAGGCCTTAGCACTCTGGGCTGTGGCCAAGTTTATGCCAATTGCTGAGCATTTGTCAAGCGATTTGAGGCCGATGACCACACAGGCAGACTCTCTTCAAGCCAGTCGCTCTCCAACTGTGGCCAAACTGTAGACTCATCCCCGCCGCTCATTAAGGCTAAGGCATAAATATCTCTCAGTGTGCAACACTTTTTCAGCTTTCGTTGCGACAAACCGTTGCGTTGCAGTTTTTGCCTTAATTGTTTCTATTGCAAAACTTTCTATCTTGTGCATTTTCACACTGTGGAAATGTGCGGAAAACTGTTTAATAACTGTTTAACAGCGAAAGATGAGCATGAAATCCCTTTTACCAATCGGGGTTTATAGCTTACAGCTTTCACTTAATAGAGTTTCATAGCAAGCAGCTCGTGTCGGAGGCGGCCAAGCAATCTCTAATCCTTTGGGGAAATGAAATTATGAATCGACACAATTACGGCCCATATTATATTCGAATTAATAGCTGACCAAATAAAAGCCAAGTGTTATTAACAACACCCAACAGACACACTGACAGCTCGTCTATAATCCAATAATACCAAATATTAATTAATACATTTTCCAGCTATCTCACAATTTTCTCGCTGCCCACTTTGGATCTATCATTTCTCACCTGGGTATATTGACTTGAGCACTTGGTTGTCTTAACTTTCAGTTTCAGCCAAGTATTGCGACTTTCTTCAAAAGTTGGTTGACTAGATACCAGACCAGATCTCCCTCACATAATACCCTCTCGGCCCAACTGTCGCTCTCTATGCGCTGCTTGCGCATCTGCCGCTAATCAAATCAAAGCGTTGACAGAAGAACTTTCCACCTGAGTAAAAGTTGCGTGCAACTGGACAAATGCATCGGCTTAAGTCCAACAACAGCAGTAAGCCGGTTGCATTTAGCAGTTAATGATCATTAAGTGCGTAAGCCAAATAGACGAAGTAAATATAAGTCGAAACCACACGATGGAGTCGTATTCACTTTTTGGCTTGGTCAACTATTAGACATTTTGTCCTAATTACGCAGACAAACCGAGACAGGCTAAAACTCTATATATGTATATACATACATACATATATATTGAGAGCTGGCCAGACTGAGCAGCGCTGCACCGCTTCACTTTCCATTTAATCTCGTTTTCTGATTTTTGTTTTGTATAGCTCCGACGCACAATTTGTCGCACGCTCCGCATGAAAAATCGAAAGCCGATTTTCATGTCAATATTTTGTTTAATAAACTGCGCGGCGTCTGTGCGATGCGGAAAATATGCAAATTACAAAGCCAAAGCCAAAGCTGAAGCTGACGCTGGACGTCTAGCCGAGCCCCGGGGCGAACGACTGCCGAGTGGTTGAGACCGTCCAGAAAGTGCGGCCCAGACCATGATGAAAGTTGTTCGCGTAGAATGCATTTCCAAAAGTGCAAGTGGTCCGTCCAGCAATCGATCCGATGCAGCGCTCAATTGATGTAAGATCGTTATGGAACTGGGCGCTGATATCACAGGCGTCTGCGATCGGTTTCACTCTTTATTACCGACCAGCCAAGCAAACACATGCTGATTATCGCGGAATGCAGTCCGTTGACATCCTGTCGAACAAGACGACGACAACAATGCTGACATGGTGACTGACTGCAGTGACACCTAGAAGAGAGAATAGTCTGAGCGATTTCAAAAGAACATCTAGAAATGTAGGGAATGGATTTGACGACACCTAATTTATTTAATAATTGTGCTCCATAATGCAATATGCAACATATTGAAGCAGAAAATGCATATTAAATGAGAAATAGTTATATTATAACATAGAGTTAAATATTTACCTAAGAAAAATGAAATCATCTGAAAAAGAAAATCTATAGGGTAGGGAACTAGAATGAGAAGAGAAGAGAAAGAATTAATAAATCAAATAAATAGATATTTCTATATTCACCTAGAAGATATGTAACAGAAATAAATATCTGATAGATTAAATGATATACAAGACTTAAATAGGTATGGAAATATAATGAGAAAGGAAAAGAGTCAAAGACCTCTAATTCTAAATAGATTATTGAATATTTGTACTAACACCACAACACAATACCATATATACATATATATACTATACTATACTATGTGTCTATTGTCTATAATACATAGATATATCCATATTTATTCATATATCAAAAGGAGTCAACCGGCGCATAATATAATAAAAAACTAAATATATTAAAACTAAATTACATGTAATTTAAAGACCTGTTCTCTATAGCCTAGCGACATCATATAATTAATCAGTTTTAAGGCAACGTCATTTATGATTGTAATCATAATAAAGAATGTAATTGGATCGTAATTGAATGTGTCACTGCTATCTCAGCTCTTTAAGACTTTATTGTGAACTTAAACGGTCGACATATGCAGTCTACTATGGCACATATGTATGTACCCCAGATATGACAGTCTACTGTTGAGGTACGTGCCACAATTTGTGGTTGCAGTGTTGCACTTTCATTTGCATTGTGCGCCATGCTTCGAGGAGCATATCAAGTCCGTCAATTGTCACAGGGCTTCCAGTCAAACAAAAGGCGCAATTGGGTTAATGCGGCACCTGTCTGCCAATCTCTCAAGCTACTCCCCTTGACAGGCACTGTGTGGCCAAGTGCCAACTCATAGAAGCCACATACATATATATATATATATGTGCCATTCCACTTGTATAGTACACAATGGCCAAGTGCCGTTAAGCCCAAGTTGAGCTAACAACTTAATGCCCAGATTGGGAATTAGTTTGGGATGAGCTGCAGCAGCTCAGCAGGCAGCTAGATATCTACAGCTATTTTCTTTTGAAAAGCAAAATGAATTAACGCTACATTAATTTATTTAATAATATTTCATTGAAATTGAGCAATTTGAAAAGAACCAAGAGTGCCAAGAGTGCCAAGAGAGTGAGCTGAGAGCCTTTACAGCCAATTGCAGCTACTGTCAGTGGCAGCAGCAGCAGCAGCAGCAACTGCAATTATTTCTGCATTAGAAGTTCTTCCGAGTCGGCTGGCTAATGTCAGTTTAAGTGTTGGAATGAATGCCAGCCAGATAGTCCGATACTCGCTAAGTCAGTCAGTCAACCATTTGCAATGTGGGAAAATATCTTAAACAGCTCACAGCTCACAGCTCTCGGCACTCGGCTCTCGGCTGAATTCAGACCAAACTCACATGGATCGCTGGATTCGTCGCTATAAGACTCACAGCCATCAACAATGCATGAAATGCGCAACAAGTCCTAAACTGCATATAATGTATGAATTTTAAGAGCAGGGGCCGGGTGGGGACTATAATATTAAATCAAATTAAAGCAGTTGACTGCCCCAAAATGGATGCCCACGCAGCTGCCGTTGCTCAATGAAGCCATACAAAATAAGAAAAATAAGAAAAACCAAAAATTTGCTGCGCAGTGTAAAAGTGCTTCAACAGTATTTATTGAGTGCCAGCGCAAACATTAAATTGTGTCCAAAATTTCAACCAAATTGTGCTTAGCATTTATGGCAAATACGTTTTGTATAGAATCGAACATTAACATTTTCACTCCAATCAAGAAGGCATCTCAATATAGTAGGTATAGGTACTTTAGGGCAAACAACAATTTGAAACGAAACATTTGAAGGAATTTATTATAAATTCGTACATTGTTAAGAACACTTTATGCCTAAGTACAGATTTCGTAAGTGATTTGAAAATAAATTAAATGACAAAGTGTTAGATGAAAGAGTGCAGGGTATAAAAATCTAACTACTATAAATCAAGCAATTGGACAATTTAATCATCATCGACGATTTCGGTGATTTTTGCGCTCTCGGCAAACACGTCTGGTATTTCAGCATCTTCGGATCGCTCGATGATGCGTTGCCGCTCTGCAGCTGCCAAACATTGCGTAGCCACCTCACGAGCCTTGGCCCGCTCCTCGCCCGGCAGCTGGCTTAGGCCACTGAGCAGCTCCATAATGTCCGTCTCGAATAATTTCTTGGCGATCTCAGGGCCCGCATTGATCATATTGAGTATGACGACAACGCCGCGATGCTGCACGTCTGGACTCGGATTGGCAATGAGTGTGTGCAATATATTCAGCCAACTGGAGATGTTCAGAATTTTGGCACAGCACTTGGTGGACACGGAGGTGAGCATCGCTAGAGCGCCAGCGCAAGCCTTGGCCGTATCCTCGTCCTCATCCTCGCAGAGCAGTGCCAAAAACTTGACACGATCGTTTTCGCCCTCAAACATTTTCACCACATCCTCCGACATGATCAGATTGCACAGACACTGAGCCGCGGCTCGCGTGAGGTACAGGTGATCCTCCATCAGATAGTACTCAATCTTGGAGACGCCCTGCTCCTTGATAATGCGCTGGCGCACGCTCTCGTTCATGCTGGCCAAATTGGTAAGGGCCATCAGTGCCTCAAAGTTCTCCAGAGCCGTACACTCCTGCAGCAGTAGATTCAGCAATGGTCGTATGACGTCCAGCGAGCGCTGACCGCTAAATGCCACCTCCGGGTTGATGGTGATGCCAATGCGCGCGAGCGCTTGGCTAGCATGCCGTTTGCCCTTTTCGGTGCCCTCCAGGGCCATTCGGAGCAATGCCTTAACACCTCCGTCTTGCACTACCTTGCCGCGTAACTCCTGCAAGCCACAGACGGCGTTGAGCACACGCGCAATAAGCTCCTGGGAATTGCGGCTCTCCGTCTTGGACAGAGCACAGAGCGCCGTGGTGATGCCCTCATTACACAGCACAGTGATGCGCTTGTTCACGAAATCCACATCGTCCAGCTCGTGCTCCTCCGGTATATGATGTTTGGCAAACTTGGCCAGCTCAATCATTTCGGGGACCATCTCCTGTTTCTCGTACGCATTGCACAGATTTACAAATGTTGTTACCACGCCGTATAGGCACGACTGATCGCCGGCACGTGCTAAGTCCATGAGCGCATGTATAGACGCGTGATCCTCAATAAGTTTCTCTTTGCATTCGGCATCCAGCGTAAGATAGGCCAAGCCATCAGCTGCCCAGCGGCGTATGTCCTTATCCTTGCCTGGCTTGATCAGGAATCGACGACAGGCCTCGGCCAGCTTCAAAGCGGCGCCATCGCCAAATGGTCTTATAGCCGCATCCTGGCCACCATAGCTACCCAACTTGCACAGACCCACCAGGGCGCGCACACGTATGCCATCATTCTTGGAGTGATATAGACGCTTCAGAATATCCACGCCCTGTTCGCACAAGGCCTTGGCCTTGTCCTTCTTCGAGGAAGCCGCTATAAGACATTCGCAAGCCACGCGCTGCTGCAGCAAATCATCTGTAGTCGCCATGGCTAAAATCATTTGCAGAATGCCTACGAAAGAAAGAAAAACATATTGTATAATTATAAGTATAAATTATTAAGAGTGCCATTATACGCACCCTCTCTGGCTACAATCTGATTTCCCACGTCGAGCGGACCATTGAGAAGCGCTGTGATGGCCACAGTGACGCGCACCTTGGACTCCATGTCAGGCGAGAGCAGCTTGTCCTTAACAAACTCGTCAATTTGCTCTGTAAAACGCTGTTTGGCCTCATCGTAGTACATGTTCTCATAAATGCGGGCTAGACACACCGACGCAATAGTGCTCGTAGAGGAAGTTATGTCCATAGCACTCTCATATTTGTAGTCCTGGAGCTCTGAGCACACCTCCAGCAGGCGGCACAGCCCACGTATCTCCACCAAACGCTCTGCCCATTCCAACGCAGTATAGTGGACATTGCGTGTGATCAGCTCAATAACTGCATCACGCGCCTTGCCCGATATGGTGCGATCCGTGATGCTATATACCAGACACGTGAGCAACGTATCAATCTCACGATTATTCTTTTTGCACAATTCCTTGTTCGGCTTCGCATCGGGCTTGTTCTTGAGGCCGGACAGTGCATTGATAATGGTCTGTAGACAAAACTGTGCAGTGCTCGCGCAATCCTCATGCTTCTGGTCGAGCACGCGCATAAACCAAGGTATGCCCAGTTCGGTGAGTACGCCTTTGGTGCGCTCCACACTGTTGTCGCACAACGCAGCCACAACACGTACCATATTCAAGTAGATCTGCTCGTCCTTTTCGATCTTGGCTAGAGTGGCTATTTTTGGCACACACTGCTCCTTGTACAGCAATTCGGCTCCTGCGGGCTCTCTGGCCAGCACCACCAGGTTATTAGCGCCCGAGCGTCGCTTCTCAATGGGCGCGGTAATATCAAAAGCAAGCTCCATCATTTGCTTCACCTTCGTTGACGTTTTGGCATTACGAGCGGCGTTCTCTTGCACAATCAGATGCAATCTCTGCAGCATAGGCTGCACAGATTTATTGCCCGGATCCGCTTTAAAAAGGGCCGTGGCATCCTTATAGGCTTCTTCGGGTTTGTTTAGCGCCTCGTATGCCTGAGCACGACGGAATAGCGCCTTGGGGTCATTAGGCGCCAGACGTAACGATTCTGTGCAATCGTCGACGGCCTCTGTGTATTTCTCAAGCTTTAAATAGGCAGCAGCACGGTTCTTATAGAACACGGGCAGCTCCTTGTGCTTATCGCCTAGCTTAATAGCAGCGCTGTATTCTTGCACTGCTTCCGACCATTTGGCGGCTTTGAAAGCCTCATTACCTTTATCTTTATGACTTATAGCATCAGCACCAGCGGCAGCTGGAGCTCTTTCCGTAGCGGTGTCTTCGGTGGTCATGATTATACAATTCTTCTAAATGAAATACTTTTATTTTAGCTGTGTACAGTACAAACGTTTCACTTAAAATGCGAGTGATTCACGATTTTTGGCTGTTTTTCGCTTCTTTTCTACCGTTTGGCCTTATATCAACTGCTGCCGAAACTTCTCGATCGCACATGCACACACACATTAACACACATGCAAACGTGAAAAACAAGCACACAGCGCTCGAAATTTCAATTGCTGGTATGTTCTATATATAAATAAAGCCCATAAGGAAAATCCAAAAACAAAAAACAAGAAAGAAGAAAAGCGGTCACAACTGTTTTCAAATAGCCATTCAGCTGTTGTCGGCGAAAACAGCTGATCGCGCAGCTTTATCGTTAATCGATAAGTTGTTTTCAAGTTCAGGAGCAGCTGATTGTTTGTTTGGTTCGCCAAAAGAATGTGATATAACAATTAACAAGTCTATTTGTGTAGTTAGCAATTTATACAAGCCATGTTGCAACATGGCCAAGTTCTCTGTCGCTTCTTAGCTCGTTGCCTACACACAACAAACGGTCAATGGCAGATTAGCCATTACGAGGCTTTGGGCATCAGTAAAAGCTCCACGCAGACAGAAATTAAAGCGGCGTATTATAAGTTGTCCATGGTCTATCATCCGGATCGGAACAAGGGCAGCGAGAGTGCCGCTAAGAAGTTTCGTGAGATAACCCAGGCCTACGAGGTGCTTGGCAACTATCGGCTGCGTCGTCTCTACGATAAAGGAATTGTGCATACAGCTGGACCCCAGTACGCGCAGGATGTACGAGATGTTGGAGAGGACGTGGAGTACGAGGAAGATGATTCGCAGACTAAATTCTATAAGTCACGGTTCAGGAAGTCGACAGTTGGTGATACCCAAGGACGGACGCCCATCTACGATTTTGATGAATGGAGTCGGGTTCATTATGGCAAAAGCTTCGACAGACGCCAAGCGGCACAAGCGAAGCACGAACGTATTCGCCAGCAAAAAGAAACAAATAGAATGTCTGTCCAAAACGACATAGTTTTGTTTGCTTGTCTATTTGCGGGCGTAGCTATGTACCTGATGTTTGTAGCAGAGGCGTCATATGATACCCCAAAGAGTAGAGCGGAAGAGAGACACAAACGGAACCAGGAAAAGGAGTCACTGGATGTAAATATATCAGACAAAAAATGATAGTCAGTAAGGAGGCCTAGCTCAATTTAACAATGATTTACGTCTAACTATGTTAATAAAAACGCAAAATGTATATAAAGACGTGTATTTAACAGTCCTCAGAAGCGACCACTTCGTTTACGTGCAGTGTACTTGGTGTCTGGACGCGTTTCGAGACCTTGGCGGCGACGTCGCTCCTTCTTGGCCAGTATCCAATCACGTGACTTCTTTGGCGCCTTACCACGCGCATCACGGCAAGCATCGCGTTTCTTTATATAGTTAATGCGGCGTTCCTCCTCAGGCGATCCTGGAGAAATAGCTGACGATTAAACAACAACATTATTAAATTTATAGGTAGACTTACCTAAGGCCTTTGGCAGTTCTGCTGCGCCTCCCGTCATCAACACCAAATAGTATTTTTTGGCTTTGGCGGAGTTGGGAAAGTCCACCACAAGACCGCCATAGAAACCCGCCTTCATTGCTTGTGCGGTGACCATTTCAATTTGGTCTGAATTCTCGGGATAAAACTGAAAGACAGCGCGAGCCGTGCGAGTCAAGCATGAGAACAATGTTGTAAAGAATTTTAGCAGGCGTTTGTGTGGATTGTGATAGGATTTGTCGGCGTTGCATAGCCATTGTAGAGCCGATATAGATATCGCGCCATCGAAAGTGCCAGGCCTAAAAGGCATACCCTCGCCCATATCACCCAAAATAAGATCTCCGGCTACTTCGCGCTCAACAGCGATGTCCAACATAGATTTGGATATATCAATGCCAACCCATATGTGATCACTGTCGTCGAGCACGCTCCCCGAAAGACCAGAGCCGCACCCAATATCCAAAATAAATCGAGGTTCATCGTCATCCGGCAGTGCTAGAAGCTCAAGAGCACGCTCCGCCATTTCCACTTGGATTTCTATAATGCGGGTACTACAAACAACACAAATTAACAAAAACCACAGATATAAACAAAGGATTGAATACTTGCTTTGTGGAATACTTTTTGGCCTCATCGTCATTGTAGAACTGTAAAACAGTAAATTGATATAAATATTATGTTTTCAACTTGATTTACTTACGATCTCTGGCGGTGCTGAGTGTTCTGGTCTACGCGCCATCTTTATTTGTTTCAATTAATTTAGGCGCAGCTGGATTCAGAAGCTTCAAATATTAAACAAATCCAAACATTGCTACACGTGCAACCAAGTGTTATCGATATTTATGCTGCTAAACAGCTGATTATATGGAATAGGTCGTGTTTACTATCGTTTAGCTTAACAACGATTTTTGTGCTAGTTATCGATTTGACGCATACACAAACACATATCAACGCGTAGTGGTATCTGCTTAAAATTCAGTGAAAATAGTGTTCAATTATATGAAATAAAAGCACTAAACATGTGATAGTGGCAATTAAAGTGTACCAAAGCTTCAGTATACTGTTAAACGGTAAGTGGCTAACGATTTAGAAATTAATTGAGCGTAATGAAAACATTTGTGCATTCACTCAAAGTGTGTGCATGTGTGCATTCGTGGATGAGTGTGTGTGTAGGTGTGGGTGCTCCGCTGTCAATTAAAACTGCGACAACCCGACACGACAGCATTATTTATAGTGTTTGTGACTACACTTAAGTTAAGAATCGTTAAGACGTTGAAAATTATATGTGTTAAAATTCTCAGCATAATTATATATAATATAGACTCCGCTTGCCTTACCGTTATGCTTCGCCGGTTTATTGACAGCTATTGACCTGCTTACCTTGTCCCAATATAAGTTATTGTTTTGCTGAGAAAGCGAAAATACAGCCTAGAACAACTTGAAAATAACATCAGCAACACGAAAGAAGCGTGAGCCTCAACAGGTTTGTGTTGTGTTCTCTCCTGTAATCTCTTGCCTTCGACAACTGCTGCGATTTCAGTTCTCACTGCTCTCGATTAACCTCATCGATAACCAATGCATGTACGTTTATCAGTTGCTTCCCAACCATGCAGTTCACCTCAAACTGCATTTTGATGTAATGCATTTTTTTCTGATTCGATTTTATTTACCGAAAAAATAAAAATAAATAAACGAAGACCACAAATATTCAGGTTTATATTTTTGCGGCTTTTGAATATTTAAGTGCTATCTTCGCTCATGCCCAAACTGGTTATGGCACACACACTCCAAAATCTTTCACTCTTTCCAAGAACAATGCGTGAGGACAACGGCGATTACCAAAAAAAAAAATCACACAATTTTGACGCAACACAAATGCGGTCGCTGGCCTCTGTTTAACAAGTTTGCCCAAATAAAAAAATATATGTTTATTTATTTATGCAAGGTGCGACTTAAAAATACCCTGTATTGTCAAAGTTATCTTGCAATATATAGGGCAGAAATCATTAAAGATAGTAGAAGGGCTTTCAATTATTTAAACTTACTATCAAAAAAATATTAGATTGGACAAAGAAATATTTGTTCCTTCCTTTAAATTAAAGAACAAACTTATTTAACAAAAAATGATTTTCTATATTAAAATATAAGCTTCTATATTAAAATAAAAGCTATATTATTATTTGTTTTAAAAATATTTGTTTTAATAAATACTCCATATATCATATTTTGGTACTTTGTTATAAATACTTCAAAAACTAAATTTCTATTCCACTTTATCTAATAGATAATTATAACAACATGCAAACCTATTTGCTTAATTTTATGTCAAATAAACAATTTGCGGATTGTTGAAAGGTAACACACATGTTTAGCTCTAGCTTTCAATACAGGGTATTAACGAAGTTTAAACTGAGCATCCAATTCGTAAAACCAGCTTGTCTCATGAAGATTCTTGCTGGCTGTCGTCTGCCAACTTTCAGTTACCAAACTGTCTCTCTGCCGCGCAAATCGCTCGAAAAACCCCGACCACAAATCTAAAATAAAAGACTAAAAACAAAAAACTTTCGTAAAAATGCGCAGTTGCTTGAAGCGGACATCTTTGTGGATGCTGCTGCTATTTGGGCTGCTTTCGCCTGGCCAGCCTGCCAATCTGTTGAACAGCTATCTGCCCGCCTCCATGCAAGCGCTGGCCTACTACATAGATCTGCTCCAATACGAGCCGTTGTCCAGCACCACAGCGGAGCCCCCATTCAGTGCCGATGGTCAACAGGAGCAAAGTACCACACCGCTGACTCCAGTAGCTAGCTCCAGCTCTACCTCAAGGCCAACTGCTGCAAATTCTAATCCTAGCAGACCCAGCAGCACAACACGACGACCCACAGGCAGCACCACCGGCTGGTGGCAGCCCCCAAGTTGGTGGGAAACTCCACAGCGCACCACAACCACCGCACGACCGACAGCAGCGCCAACTCCGCCACATGGTCCGGCGCTTTATGCACCAGATACAGCCAAGCGCGTCTTGCCGACACCACTGGAGGGTCAGGCGCTGTTCGATGAGATCCACTCTGATTCGGATTTTGATAGATTGCCGCTATCGCTGATCCGCGACATACAGACGGAGGCGTTGCACGATGATTTTACTAACGATGTGGAATCGTTGGATAACTTTCTGCGCCTCTACGATGATAATTATGGGCGTGCCGCCTTTGATTTCGAGTCGGCTATGGATCGCTGGAGCAGCACATCGACGGCGGGCAAGAAACGAGTACCGCCCACTAAGCCCTATGTGGACTTTCTGCTCGTCTACGATCTGCTCAAACGAGATGCCAAGGCGGCGAATCTAAGCAAATATGAGGGCTACTCCGAGGAGTTGCTGCAGCAGCTTTTTGAGTTGTCTAATGCTTCGTCCACACGACAGTTGCACACACTGTTCCAGCGTATGCTCGACCGTGGAGATGTACAGCGCAGCGATGTGGTGGCCCGTGTACAGGGTATTCTAAAGGATTTGGGCAATCCGAATAGCGCCACATCCAAGGCGCTCGTCCATATACCAAGCATGCAATTTTTGCCCTAAATCTAAAGTGTTTTGTCCATTTAACGAGCACATAATAAATTGTAATTCATAAAATATTCAATTCAAATCGACCATCTGACACATTGACACAGTTTAGGCAGCCCGCCCACCTTTTTCGATATGTTTGTTTGTGAGTGAGCTATCG